TGACTCTCATTCTGACGGCACCCATTCACTGCAGAGCATCCATTGGTGAGCAAGTGATGTAGTGCTAAATTTCTCCAAATCTGTTCCCATGAAGAAACAAACTCATCTACATCTTGGATGGCCTGACTATTCATGTGACCTGTTTAGAAATACACAGGATACTCCGATTGACTTTGCCCTATCAGTGCGGCTCCCATGAAAAAAATAGTGAAGACCACTGCTTTAGATGAAAGAATCTGCCAAATGCATAAATGTCATGTAAAATATAATAGGATTGCAGACAGCAATGTAAAAACAATTCTAACTATTAATCATAAAATGGTAATAAATATATAATCATTCATAAGATGAAAAAACACTGTTTTGATGCAGATATTAGCTGTTATTAGGTAGAATCAACCCGATTTAACAAGAAACGTAACTGAACTGAATTTACAAGAAATACAAGAAATTATGACCCAGATGACATTAAATCCAGGTTCACTTGCAGTGAGCACAAACATGGTTTGTGTCATTATTAAATCATTTATATTTGCTTATGCAGTTCCAAGGTAATACTAACAAATTTCAGTGTTTGATTATTTATTTAATGATGTAATACAAAGCAAAAAGCAGCTCTGAAACACTGCTTAAGACAAACAGCTTTGCCATTTTAAAATATTTATGTTAAGCTTCAGTAGTGTATAATTAGAATCTCAAAGCCTAAATGATCTGACAGTCGTCCTACACAGTCGTGCCTGCAGATGAAACAGAGGATGGATGCATGAATGCATGGACTGATGATTGGATTGATGTGTGAATGCATGGCTGTATGGAAACAGGCTACAGCAGGTGTGTTTTGTGCATGTCTCAGTGGTGCGTTCTTCAGCTGGTCGCTGTATTCAGGACCGTCGCTACGGACTTTACGTAAGATGTTGCGCTGGGTGCAGCATCCGTCCCTCCGTACGGCCACGACGCGCACGAGCTGCCTGCATACACTTACAAAAATGCGCCAGTAGGTTTGTACGCCTCATACCCCGGGTAATCAAATTACATTCGATTTTCACACTTTACAGCGAGCGATTGCATCGTTTTTGTTCCAGCGGTGGTATGATCTGTTAACTATATATTCACCGTTATTCACCGTGTCCGCGCGCACTGACGCGCTCCGGATCTGTGAGAGACACCGAATCAACGGGGGGAAATCATTAGAAGAAGATTCGTCGAGGAGAGAGGAAAGGGTACGATATACATTTGATCAGATGCACGATATCAAATGCTGTGAAATGGATTTGATTATAGTTCATGCTGAATGAATGATTGACGGGCGCCCGTTTTGATTTGATTTGATAGGTTTAATAAGTTTCCACATGGTTATGATGTGCATGATTCATTAGAAGAGGATCCGGATGATGTGATGGATGCATGAGAGGAGAACGGTAAGATCTTTCATTCGGCGTTCGTTTTATTTATTTATTTATTTAGCTATTCAGTTTTTTTATTTATTTATTTATTTATTTATAGAAATGAATCTGGCCGTTTGGAATGGTGACAATTTAGCGGTTGGCGATGTAAATAACGGCTTGGCTTGATTTGCATTTTTCTTTCTCATTATCCGTGAATTACACGGACACCCGTGTGCCATTTTGTTGCGCGTCTTCGAGCGAGGGAGCGCGCGCGCGCCTGTGTGTGTCCGGGCCTCACTTTTGTATTTCACGCTCGTACGACGGTTTCCGTTAAGACACCGCAGTCACTAACGCATTCAGATGCACCGATTTTCTCTCATATAAGAGCAACAGACTCACTGCGGACTCTGTCTGTCATGATGGAGATCGCCGCATCTGATGTCTTGTGAAGGTTAATTAATAATCAATATAATGGCTTATGAAATAGATGTTTAATTTGTGCATTCGACTCGTTTCTTTGGCCTGTGGCTGGTTTTAACGAAGCCGTAGTGCAAACAGAGCGCCGCCACCCAACCGGATTCCGACACCCAGCATCTGCAAATCAATTTAGCGTTGTCATGGTTACAGTGAAGCTGCACCACCGCACCTGTGACACACACACACACACACACATACACAAACGAGATGCGCCTGCGTGTGATGGACAAAGATGTTAAAGTCATATTACGAGACAATGCAATATTAAAATCTTATTTTGAATTCTGTTTGATTTTCTTTGTGTTAGCTTGAAATAGATTATTCCTGATGTAAGACAATGAGCGCGTTTACATGCACAAACCTACGCTGGCTTCTGTTTTCAGCTAAAGGTCATACACTTTAAACAAAACCGTTTGGAATGAGTTTTGATCTTCAGACCTTGATCTGCATGTAAAATACCCTTTACCGGTGTTCTAAAGGCTTATTCAGTGTGCGCGTGCGTTCTGTGCATGCCCGTTTACGCTTTGATGTCAAAATGGATAAAAACCTGGGCTGCGTTTCTTTAAAGCATCGTAAACTAAGTTGATCGTAGAGACCATTTGGTGGCAATGGCTCTACTATAGGCTTATGCTTTTGGGAAACGCAGCCCTGATCATTTCAAATCTCATGTAAATATGATTTTCCTTTGCCTGGGGTTTGTTGGATGTGTTTGTGCACAATTTTAGACCGATTTTGCGTACCGTCGTGTGCCCTAAAAGGTGTTTTTTATTATTATTAATTTATTTATTTATTATTATTTAATTAGATAAATGTCATAGTTTAAAGGAAAAAAGCGATCTGTAAACCTACACCAATTGCCCCAAATTTGCTTTGCATTTAAAAACCTTTACTTGTGTTCCCAAATGTTTGCATTATAACATAAAAACTGGAAACACTGATTAATTTCAAATCATGCAAACATGGTTTTCTTGCTTTGTCGGGTTTGTAGGATGAGATTATTTTTGACTGTAATCAGTGTATTGTGGTGTATGTAAAGTAAGGTGTGTATTGTGGTGTATGTATGGGCAGTAAGACCCTTATTATAGGATCATTTAACATACACCACAGACAAATTTTCCTATAATAAGGGTCTTACTGCCCACTTTACATCTTAAAGCTTAATCTAGACCTATTTCTTTTTTGTAGAATTTAATAAAAAAGTGAGAATTCTGAAAAAAAAATCAGCAGCATTTATTTAAATATAAGCAGTATTTACTGAAATTCTTGCATATTTATCGTGTGTTAGAATATGCTAAAACACCATTCTGCCTAAATGATTAGTTGTAAGGCTGTTTATACAAACAAATTCTGCTGCTATTGCATTACTGTCATCCAACATTCGTCATGGGTCATTTAATATCAGCATTATTCTGTATTTATTTATAGCAAACTTCAGTGTTCAGACATGAGAGTTGTTTACCTCTTCAGTTGTAGAGCTCATATGTACAGTGGTTGCACGCACACATTTCTTTGTATTGAATGTCAGTTTCCAAGTAACGATGTGAATATTGTATTATTGTATATTTGCATTTTTCTCTCTAATAATCTATTTGTATATTTACAGAACCACACATCTGTGCACATTTAATAAAGAAAACTTAATTGCAAATATTGTTTAGTGCAATTTAAAAAAAAAAATTTTTATCAAATTTTAAAGTGCAACATTGTTCCGACAGGACAACCTGTAGCCTTCAACCAGTCCGAACCACTAGTTTAATTAAACATTAAAAGACATGGCCAGACCAATCCAAATCTGGAAGTTTTTTTTTTCCATGGACGAGAAAAAATTTAAGCGTTTTGTGTTACAATTATGACTACCTACTCAAGGTTTAAAAGTAAAATAAGCAGGAAAAAATTGTGGAAATGAACTGAAATTAAATTCTACTCCAGCTGGGCTAGAGGTCACAACATTTAATTGCACAGGTCAGAGTTTTTAGTTGCTGATGTACTGACCCTCACACCCTTAGCTATATGAAATACGATAAGCTGTACATATATGCAGTTTTTGACCTCTCTCGTCCTCTTTCTCTCTCGTTCCCCCTCCCGTATTTTCTTCTAGTAAGCAAGGCCAGTGCTGACTGTGATGATTCTGATGGCAAGCAGAAGACTCCCGTAGCAGCATCCAGTGCTGTTGACAACTGTGTGGATTACACTTTGATACCACAAGATACCTGATTCCACAAGTTAATCGTAAAAAAGTTAATTTCCTTTCTTGTTTTGTGGATGTTGTTATTGAAAATACACTTCCATTTCCACTTCCACAAGTTTTGAGGGTTTTTGGCACTCACTGTTTGCCTTTTTTGTTTTAGGAAAGGGGCAGGACATGACTCAGTTGCCATGCAGGCTGCTATGGTAACAGGCCTTTTCAGCCCCTCCCCCCTCATCTGGTTGGTCCAACTGTTGTTGTGGCCACACCTCCTTGGGCCTATATTGGCTGAAGCCAGTCCTGCCTGCCCTACTCCCTGTAGCTGTTCCAATCAAGCCAGTCGAGTGATCTGTACTAGAAAAGGCTTGAATGAAGTTCCACAGAGTATCTCGTCCAATACTCGATACCTCAACCTCCAGGAGAACTCCATACAGGTAACCTCCTTGATACCCTAAATAGGTGTTTAGAGCGTTTTCTTCTAGAACTGGACATGAAAACTGCATCCTACTATCCAAAAAACTACAGCCAAAATTAGGTACATATGAAAATGACCATGCAATATCAAATTTAATTTAATTGTTAGAAAAAGGAGAAATGGTCAGATTAAAATTGAAAGACAATTAATTATGGATCAGTTTACTCCAGGTATCTTACTAAAAAAGTTGCTCAGATTTTAATGCAGAACGTTAATCATTTCACTGGCGTGCTGCTCCTATAACTTATCAATCAATTCAACCAGTAGCAATTATGCAAGTACTCAATATATTCATTGAACTGCCATTTTGCTATCTCTATTTAAAATGAAACATAAATTTTTATTACTTGCAATGACTTGTTAACAAGCTCTGTTAGTTAAACATTCCAGTGCTACAACCATCAGGCACTGTAAACCTGTCATCCTCGATCACAGAGTGACAGATGGTCATGCATACGCACATACTGAAATAGCAACAAAATAACAAAGATGCAACTTTCGTGTGTATGCATACTAACACAAAGGCATACAGTGATCTTAATCACTCAAACTGCTGCAGAACAGGTTAACCTGTAATAGTAGAGATGCAGTAACCCAGTTCTGGAATATGTCTGCTTTTATAACCTACTATATTCTCTTTCTCTCTTTTTCTGCAGTTGATCAGGTCAGACACCTTCAAGCACCTAAATCATCTGGAAATTTTACAGTTGTCTAAGAACCAGATTCGTCAGATAGAAGTGGGAGCTTTCAATGGCCTTCCGAATCTTATCACCCTGGAGCTTTTTGACAACAGATTGCCACTGGTACCATCACAGGCATTTGAGTACCTGAGCAAGCTGCGTGAACTCTGGCTGAGGAACAACCCCATAGAGACACTCCCAGCGTACGCCTTCCACCGTGTGCCGTCGCTACGGCGGTTAGACCTCGGTGAGCTGCGCAAACTCAGTTTCATCTCGGAGGCCGCATTCGAGGGGTTGCTGAACCTACGTTTCCTGAATCTGGGCATGTGCGGTCTTAAGGATGTACCCAACTTGACGCCTCTCGTGCGGCTAGAGGAACTGGAGCTGTCAGGAAACCAACTGGGTGTGGTGCGTCCTGGATCTTTCCAAGGCCTTGTGTCTCTTCGCAAACTGTGGCTCATGCACTCTCGGATCTCGGTCCTTGAGAGGAATGCCTTCGATGACCTCAAGAACCTGGAGGAGCTTAATCTGTCCCATAACTCTCTGCATTCGTTGCCCCATGATCTCTTCACTCCACTGCAGCAGTTAGAGCGCGTCCATCTGAACCACAACCCTTGGGTTTGCAACTGTGACGTTCTGTGGTTGAGCTGGTGGCTTAAAGAAACCGTTCCTGATAACTCCACTTGTTGTGCACGTTGCCATGCCCCACCGGGTACTAAGGGCAGGTACATTGGTGACCTCGAACAGCGAGACTTCACCTGCTATGCACCTGTGATTGTGGAGCCACCCACCGACCTTAATGTGACAGAGGGAATGGCAGCGGAGCTGAAATGCCGCACCGGGACATCCATGACTTCTGTTAATTGGTTGACCCCCAATGGAACCTTGATGACCCATGGAGCGTACAAGGTCCGGATCTCTGTCCTGCATGATGGAACCCTGAATTTCACCAACGTGACCATGCAAGACACAGGACCGTACACCTGTATGGTCACCAACTCTGCTGGCAACACCACAGCAACTGCTGTGTTGAACGTCTCTGCATCTGACCCAGGCAATGGCTACAGCTACTTCACAACTGTTACCGTTGAAACCGTAGAGACTGGGCAAGATGGCCACGATTCAGCAAGGCAGTTCGTCAATGAGACGTTTATTAGTTTTCCAGGGCCGACGGCTGCATCTGCATCAGCAGGTCCCACTGGTTCAATGCTGTCCTCCTTGTCACCGCGAGCTACGCGTGCACCCGATCGCCCTTTCACAGTCTCCATCACGGACATCGCCAACCTGTCGGGTCTCGAGGACGTAATGAAGACGACCAAGATCATCATCGGCTGCTTTGTGGCCATCACCTTCATGGCGGCCGTGATGCTGGTCGTCTTCTACAAGCTTCGCAAGCAGCACCAACTGCACAAACACCACGGCCCGGTACGCGCCATTGAGATCATCAACGTTGAAGATGAGATCGGATCTGCCGGTGGGACTAGTGGCATCACGGGAGGGAGCACCATCCGCACGGGTGCAGGATCTGGTGGAGGAAGCGGGCAGAGTCCGAGGAATCATGACCCTGAGATCATGACCCTACCGAGTGTTGGGCAAGCGGACCACCTGAACCACTACTACAAAACGCACCACTTTAATAACAACGTACTGGGCTTGAACATGGCTTCTGGAATGCTCAACAACAAACCCAACCCTTCCTCCCAAAATCAGGCTTCGACCATGAAAATAGGGACTTCCAGTGACCCCTCCAACCATGGCTCGACCTTACCTCCCCTGCCAATTCCCATCCCAATGGCGATGACTTTCCATGGAACTCTGAAAGGCCTTAGTCACGTTCCCAATGTGCAGACTGAGCCGCTGTTGCTATCGAATGGCTCCAAGGAGAGCGTTCAGGAAACCCAGATCTGATTACCCTCGCATAAACATGCACACGCAGGAAGGGAAGTAGACTGGTTTTAAACCAGTGTGACTGTCAAGTCTTTGCAATCTTGGACATTATGGAACTCCATCCCTTTCCGACAGATTTTATGGAATATTCCGTTCAATGAACAGAGAGACAGGCTTTTACTGATGAAGTGGACATGGCGCTATTGAGTACATATGTGCCAAAGCAAGCGTCTTTTTTGCAGTTCTTATGAGTTGTGTCCGCGTATAAAAAAAATATAGTCTATATTAAAGTAGTGTAATTACTTAAGTGTTGGTTTGCCACAGTCCAGAGACACCGAGTACACACACCGATGTACAGCAGCTAACAGACCTGTATAAAAGCATACACACATTTACACTTCCCAGAGGTTGACATCATTATTCATCGTACTCACCTCGGTAGGTAGTGTACCTGTGTGTGTGTGTGTGTGTGTGTGTGTGTGTAAGGGACAGTATTAACTGAGACTAATTCAAAAATAAAGACTTAAACTGCTGTGATCCAGAACACATGCTCATGTTCACTCTGCGTCATGATGACATTCTGAATCTTGTGTGTGTGTGTGTGTGTGTGTATGTGTGTGTGTGTGTGTGTAAGGGACAGTATTAACTGAGACTAATTAAAAAATAAAGACTTAAACTGCTGTGATCCAGAACACATGCTCATGTTCACTCTGCGTCATGATGACATTCTGAATCTAGCACAAGTGAGGATCAGTTCATAAGCTCAGAAATCTGAACTCTAAAAGACACCAGTTTCAGGGTGACATACACTTTCATCATCCCTAGAGGAGAGGGCAGAGAGAACAAGTCTTTCCGTGTGAACAATAAGAGTACTTGGCTGCTGTCCTCAGCAAAGGTACAACAGTACCTGCCGACAAGCCGCATAGTGCAAACTCTCTGTGCATATCTGCGTTTAAAGAGATCTTGAGTGTCATATGTTTGTCTTTTCGCCTGAATCGAATAGTAACAGCAGTGTGTAAGGGCTATTTCACTGGCATTTGATGTGTGCAGAACGTGTCTGGACTTAAAGTCAACATGAAACGCCATTCGCAACCCATTTAACTTCTGTAGTATTTCTATGTGAAACAGGATATTCAATGGACGCAGGGCGGGACTTGACTTTGTTCATCAGGAATTGATTGGATCATAAAAATTGGGGCGTACCAGAATTGAGTCAAGAGGGATTCGTGACAGTAGCCGAAATGGAAAGTCGTTTCAGAGTGGAGCAGGTTACATTTTGATAAAAGTTTCTGAAGTTTTTTTTTTTTTTTTTACTTGGCATAATGTGCACCAATGACTCGTGCACAATAAGGAATGTGTGTTAAAGTAAACAGCGTCCATTTTGAGTTCATGTTGACTGAGTTCAAAATAAGCTGTATTAAAGCTTTGAAATATACTGGGATACGCAGCACAGGAGATTTCGCCAACATGAAAATTTTAGATTTTTAACAGAGAGAGAATGAAAGACATTGTGAAAATGTCCAGATTTTTCTGATGAAAGATTTTGCAATATGACATGTAATCTAATGTAAAGATTTTCAAGTATACTGTTTATAGACCAAATCGCTGGGTTTGGGAATCAGGGTTCAGGGAATGGGAATAATACCGCTCTTGGGCCGCTTCAAATTTAACGTTAGCCATCCATTTGGGGGAAACTTGTATGCCTCACTTTCAGAGAGTATTTTCTTTGATGAGATTTGCGGACTAACAGGTCCTTCGTGGGAGCCATACAACAACTGCTGACTACATAAAGCGTTCTATTCATCCTTGAATGGCTTTGAAGTTGTATAATAACAATGTGCAATGTGCCATTAATTGGAGTAGAGTACACATGCGTGTAATATTGTAATTGCTGCATTAAACTTTATTCGGTTTTTAATTTCCAATTCATCATCTTTTATCAGACTGTTGGTGTTAAAAGTGATTCATTATTTTTCAAATGCTGGGACCTTTCTTGAATCAAATTTGGGCAATTGTTTTCTGCCTTCATTTATTAAGCTTGATTGAGGACACCTTTTTGTTGAAGTGCTATACATAGATTTACATTGTATCCCACCATTCTTTCAAATGTCTCCCTGCTATTCTTCATAATGGAATTATAGGGCAAACTATTTGTTCTGCTTCTTTTATTGCTTTCCATATTTCTTCCTACAGTATGAAAGCTGATTGTGTTTGAATATCCAGTGGAGTTGCTTAGCAACAACATCATTGCCAGGAACTACTCTTAAAAGCTTATTGTAGCACCTGACCCTCATCTGCTGATGCGGAACATAGGTAGATCAGAATTACATCAGTATCACTTAAGTAAAAGGTTAGTTAATGTGAGGAACGTGTTCTCTTTGCCTTGCTTTGTGTCCTTGACACCAGAAAAGAGGCAGACGGAATTGAAGTTGCAATTCTTCAATTCCGAAACATGCAATGTTTCAATGCAATTGAAACATGCACATCTTTTGGTGTACGTGATCTTATCAACAAACAAATACACAGACAGGCATATTTACATTCATCTCGGATGTCATATTTGAACATTTTAGCCTATTTAATGCTAGCAAATTGAAAGATTTTGGCAGAACACATCCATATAATTCCAATTGCAATGCTAAAGCTACATCAACAACCAGTTTCTACAAATGAGTCTTGATTTGCTACATGCTATTGCTAATTAGTGGTATTTCGTGAGGAAGATTCTCATTCTAGAGTACTTTATTGGACATAAAACTGAGTGCAAGATGAGTCACTGGTTAATTTTCCTGAAAAAGAAAGTTTGAAGTTTTTAAATGCATATATATATCTGATCATTTTGGAGATTTTTTTGTAAGTACACCAGCATATAGCTAACATACGTCGACTAAAAGCCACAAATGGAGTCTTTGCTTGAATTAGACTCGCATTTGAGCCTTTCCATACCTCTTTTTATAATATATAAACAAACTTGTGAAATGTTAAATGGCCAAAAGCTTACCTGCCCAAGATCATGAGGCGGTGAATCAGTACGTCAGCATTCAGATGTGTGTCGTCCTGTAGCAGGTTGTATTCTCATCTATGCATCCTCTCTGCGGCCAGCAAAATCACATTACCTTTACGGCTACTGAGAGACAACTCCTCTAAACCTTTTCCCATTTGCGAAAGCTGCTCTAAGGTGATTTCACTGGCTGTGAGATGAAGACCCGTGTTGAAGCTGTTTCTGAATCAGCACAGAAAGATTGTATTATGATGACTATTATATGAAGCGGTATCATCACTGTAGACTTTTAATGTGGTGGGTCTCTCTCTCTCTCTCTCTATATCACCTTCTCACACTGACCATGTGTTCATGTATTGCCATGTATATAATCTAAAGATGTAAATATTCTCTATTTTTTGACTTACCATTAGCAGAACACGCGTTATTCAGGATTTAAATGAAGTTTTTTGGAAACTATCTGCATTTCTCTCTCCTTCTATTTATGTGTGAATCTCATGAAATCAGGCCATATTTCACCACAGCATCAAATGAACAGAATTGTGTTGTGAATATAGAAAAATAATCCTGGTTTTTGGACCATTAAGAGTTTTTTTTTCTGTGTGACATTTCATTTCATGATAATCAAATTAATTTGACCACTAGTGCTGTATGGATAATTTACTTTTGATTTTGTTTGTAATTCCCATATTGTATTGTAGATTGTCATTACTGTAATAAATTACAAAATTACTATTGTACATAAAAAAATAATATAATTTTTCATATAAATTAGCATAAAGTACCATTATATTACAAATGTTTTTTTTTGTTGTTGTTTTTTGTGCAGCTTTGAGAATGCTTTCTTTTGTTGCAGTTTTTCTGATGAAATGTCACATTGTGGGGGAAAAAACGATCAAAATAGGCTAAATAATACAATTTTGTTCGTTTTTTGCAAATTTAATGAGATTCACTCGTATATTTCTCTGTATCTCTATCTTTAGAACAACACACACCTCAAAAACAACATTAACGTTCATCTTTTTGCATTAAAAAATACAGTACCGCTGATATCGGTTCTGTTCCATTTAGCTTTGATCTTCATCTGTTTACCTATTTATTTGTACTGAGTATTTGTAGTTAATTTGCTTTCTTTTCTATGTTGATGCTGTGTGGTTCGGCTGTGGAGAGCTAGTTGATTGGCCATCAGTTCCGGGTCAAAGGTTGTGGCAACTGCTTAACTGTGCGTGTGAGCCTCTGCACTATGCCATTCGCTACACAGATGCTCTTTATCAATAAAACATGGACATTTTGGCTTTAGAATTCTGACTGCGTGTCTTTATGCTCGACTTTGATTAAAGGTGCTGTAAACAATCCATTAACAGAGATATTTTTGAAGTGTTGTAGCTTAAGACTCTGTAAACAGCAAACAAGGGGCGTGGCCTGTGCATTTTTGTCATAGCCAATCAGTAACACTGTCTGCACGTGACTTGTGTCTGTTTTGGAGAGGGGGCGTGGTCTAATTTAGCAACCGTCTGGTGAAAGTTTGGAAAATGGTAAAATTGTTTACAGCACTATTGATATTGATTCTGCAGTTGCTGAAGGATTAAATCAGTGGTTCTTAAATGTTTTATTCAATAGCCAGATTATATGTTGGACACTGAGCTCAATTATTTATAATATATGTAAAAAAAAAAAAATCTAAAATCAACATAGAATTTTGAT